AGCACCGTTCCCCGCCGTTCCCTTCCCCTCTCCAAATGTGTGAGGCCGGGTGGCAGCGCAGGACAGGCTGGGGGCCCGCCACCAGCTGCTGTCTGATCAGTCATCTTCCCCAGAGACTTGTCAGGGCCTGGGGGGAGCTGGGCCTGCCGGGCTCCCCACGCAGCACACCTATAAAGGCTCGCTGTTGTCACAGTGCTTTGGGGACACGGTGATTTCCACACGGGTTGGAAATGTTGCGTGTGGTAGCGCTGGGCTGGGTGCCTGCTCTGAGTGGCTCTGTGTTCGTCCTGGCTCAGCCTGTGCGTCAGGCATGCTGAGAGACTGAAGTAAGAGATGAGCTCAAGTCTTGAGGTTTCTGATCCCTCAGGGGGATGAGAAGCAGAAGGTGCCAAAAGTACTTGTGTGCACAAGGAGGGAAGAGTTTCTGTTGGCTGTATTCGGGGCAGTCAAGTGTCTGTGGAAGGATGAAGTGGGGGATAGCTAGACTTCTCTGCAGCTACTCCAGCAAAGGCTGTTGGGCACTGAGGAGGGGATGCAGCAGGCAAGAACCAGGGTACCTTTTCCTGCCAAGAACTAAACGAGCCCAAATCACAGAGGGCACGTTGTGTCTTGTTATGCACCTTCTGCCGTCGTTCCCTGAGCATTTACACTACCCTGTTCTGGCGCTGTGGTGGGAAAAGGGTGGCCTTTCTCCCTGGCTCCTCACTCCCGTTCCCAAGTTCTCCCTTTTCTTGAGCCACTGAAAGTGTGCAGCCCCAGAGCAAACTGGCTTGTGGAACTGATTTAGGGTAAGACAAACTCGGCAGAAAGCATTTTTGCTCTGGCTGGCATCTTGATCCAGTATGTGCTGCAGCCATGCGGGTGTTCGCACCAACACAAAGGCTGGGAGAACAGAGGGCAAGGCGGCGCCTCCTCTCTCAGCAGCGAGGCCAGGCTTTCCTGGCTTGGGGAAGGATTGTGTAAGGTTTTTTACAAGCGCCCAGCCCATCGGGAGCTTCTCAGAGATACCCCTGGTATCCGGATGGGGTGGCCTTTGACCACCTCTCCTCTGCAGCGGCTCCCACAGTCCCAACATTCATAGTGCCAAAACCTGCACATCAGGGGGCTGAACATCACACCTGATTGCACATTTTCTGATGGCAGAGAGGGAGAAAGTCTCAGGGATTAGAACAGTTGAATAAAAATAACCTGTGCTTTGCCCGCACTCCTTCAAAACCCCGTGGTGCCTGCAGCAGCCTCGGGCTGCTCTCAGTCTGGCAGTTGGAATCAGGCAGAGCTCCAGCCCCGCTTGGTTCCTGCCTGCCGTCAGGAATAACTGTTGGTAAAGCACCCGAGGGAGCAGAGCCCTCAGTGAGGCATGAGAGCAGTAGGCTTCTCCCGAAGGAGTGACAGCAGACGTGCAGCCCTGGCTCTCACCCCTTCTTGGGAGGACAATGATCCTTTCTCAGCCCTCCACGACCCCTTTTGGAGCTTGCTGTCACCCTGCCCAGCAGTTACCCTGTGCCACCCCTTCAGAGGTGTGGGAAGGAGGCGATGGAGCCTTGCCTGGCCGTGCCTGAAGTAGTCACTGCTACTTGTCTCCCACTCCTCGACTCATGTTCTCACCCTAGAGGCAAAAGAAATGCACATGTTTGCCAAGCCCAGGTTAGCTTTCTCAGTGCCAGGAAGCATCTGTAGCCGTCCTGTTTCAGTGTTGGTGGGGACTGGAGCTGATCAACAGCATTCTGCTGGTGTCAGAAGCCCAGCCCTGGGAACCACAGCCACGTTTGCCACTGCGAGGGGTCCTTCCCCTTCCCTCTGCAGTCAGAGGTGCTGCTGCGTCCCGGGGAGACCCTGTGTGTGTGTGTGTATGTGTGTGTGTGTGTGTGTGTGTGACCTTGGGGATGGCACTGTCCTCCTGTACTCTTTCAAGCTCTCTGGAGCTGATGCCAGCATCCCTGTCTCCAGGTTGTTTCAGACGCCTCTGACACAGGTGGCATGAGTTTAGATGAGGTGTCATTTTGAGGAGTTTAGATAAGGGTCATTTAGATGAGATGTTGGGGGATATGGTATAGGGGAGAACTTGTAGGGCTGATGGTTGGACTTGATGATTCCAAGGGTCTTTTCCAACCTGAATGATTCTGTGAGTTGCCTGTGCCAGACAGCCAGGATGGACTGGACGCTTGAGCTTTTCACTTGGCTTTGGTGGCTCTTGGTTACAAGGGCAGATTGGCATGAGGACAAATGGTTTGGGCGCAGCGCCTGTCGTGGGACTGCCTTTGCTAGGGTTGAGGGCAGGGCAGGATTGCTTTGCTCTCTGGGGTCCGTTGCAGTTTGTGGCTGCAACTCCACATTTGTGGCTACTTGTTGCCCCGAGTGTTTCTAGAACGTGTCCCAGTGACATAGGGTAGGTAGCACAGAGCTGCCAGTGTGCTCCCTCTGACCAAGTGCTTGTCTTGGAGGTGCCTCCTGGCCCTGCCTGAGTGGAGCTGTGGGGTCAGTGCTCGATACGCAGGTGAGGGCAGGACAGGGTGTTCCTGAGAGCATGCCTTGCCTCCTGCTGAGGGAGAAGCAGGCTCGGTGGAGCTGGGCTAGGCCAAGATGCTGTCAGGCTCCACTCTGTGCCCTCAGATGGGAGCAGGGCCGTGGGATGGGGTGTGAATCAGTGCGCCAGGAGCTGCTGCAGGCTGCCAGCACTTGGGGGTGGGCAGGATCCACGTGGCTGGGTCCACTCCCCCGCAGCAAACCCCTGCAGATCTGTGAGTGCTGCTGGGGTCAGGGTGTGCAGCCAGGGCAGCGAGGGAGGAAGCCTTCCCAGCTCTCAGCTTTCACCACCTCCACTGAGGCGCTTCGAGTGGAACCTTTTCAGTGGGTTGTTCCAGCTCTCCTCTGTCAAAGCCATGAACAGCCGAGGGCGAAATCGGAGAGCAAAACTGAGACTAGCAGCTCCATAGAGGAGCTGGCTGTGCCTGAGAGGGCATGTCTAAGGGGGCAGTGGTGAGCATCCTGCCTGCCCTGCCCTCTCCTTGGGGCACGAAGAGCAGAGGTGTCCTGTTTCCAGGCCAGGCCCCGCTGACGCTGTCTGTAAACCGGCGGGGAGATGAATATGCAAGGTGCAGTCATGCTGGTTAAGCTCCCAGCTGGTGGGTGGAGGGGGAGGAACTCTCTTGCCAGAGAGCTCTGCTCTCATCTGTCACAGGAGACTGTCCCGGGCCTGCTCCTGCTTCTGCCCTTTTTTCCTTCTTAGGGTGTTACTTGCTCCCGTTCCCTCCCTCTTACATGGGGCACTGTTTGACTGAAATAGCTGCTGCCCCGAGCCATAGGGCAGGCTGCCCTGGCTGCCCCTGGAGACTCGATTTTGCAGATCAGGGCTTCCCTGTGTCCTCGCCCTCTGCTCTGCCTCCAGGTCTTGTTAGTGCCAGCAGCCCCTCTGGGCCAGTGTTATTGTAGTGGCAGCCGTGAGCATGACAATTGCTTTCCAGGTTTTTAATGTGGGCCACATACGGAAGACCCCCAGTTGTATCTTGGGAGCTCTGACAAGCCCATGCTTTTGGCAGTAAGCGTTGTAACAGCTGTGATGAGGTAGGTTTCCTCACTGAGTGCTGTGTGGGGCTTCCCATAAATGCTTCAGTGAAGGTTGTGTGAGGGCACTGGCCCTGGGAGGGCCCGACGCTGGGGCAGAGACCAGATCCTGATGCTGTTGGGCCTTCTCCACCTGCTGCCATGCTCGCTCTCTCCTCTCTTTAGGCCACTAGTTCCTTGCCAGAGAGTTTGACCACAGAGAGTCGCCAAGATAGCTGGGCCAGGAAGAAAGCGTCGCACCCCTGACCCAGACTCCATTACCGACCCCGGCGGGCCGTTTGTGTCCTCCAAACGGCTGAAAATGTCCAGCAGCACCAATGCCCCTGGCCAGAGGAGAGTGTCTCGGGGCTTAGATGATGCCACCAACAAGAAGAAGCAGAAGGATCGAGCCAACCAGGAGAGCAAGGAAGGTGAGAGCCCCTCTGCAGGGCTGCAACGAGCAGGCCCATGGTTTCTAGGCACTGCAGGGTGGGAGCCTTGCAGCCATCTGCTGCAGGATAAGCAGATTTAACTAATCGCTTCCTGCAGCTGATGGTGACCCATGTGATGTGGGATCTTCTTCAGCACAGTGTCCTCCCTGGACCTGTAACCTCCTTCCTTCAGGCACTACTTAGGCCCAGCTATGTGAGAAAGGTCAGGCCTGTGGCCTTGTTAGCTTAAGCCTGGAGCTGGCCTTGGTGGTTGTTTCAAGACTTTGGTTTTGGCTTGGGTTGAGCTGCCTTGATCCATGGGGAGTGGGACTGAAGCCTGTGGGCACCCTTGCAGCTGGAGACAGTGCTGCTTCCCCATGGATGTGCCAAGGCCACATGCTGCGAGGCAGCGCCAGGGTGCTGACAGCACCTGCCAAGTGTGGGGCCCGTGGGTGGGGCTGATGCTTTAGCTTCTGGGTCAGGGCAAGGTGTGGCTCAAGTGAAATGGTTGCTGTGGAGTAATTCCCTCTCTAGCTCCTGTGTGTCCGATGACAAAAAACGATGCTTCAGGTGCAGGGAATACCTGTGGGCAGGATGTAGGCAAGAGTCCCTGTGGCCCTGGAAAACTGCTTGATTTCTGTGCCTGCTCCGTTATGATTGTTGTAACCTCAAAATCACAGGGTGTTTTATAGGCCAAGGTAAATGAGAGCTTACTGAGTTCTGTGCTGGAATGGCCGGCTGCAGTCCCCGATTCAAAATCCCACGGTGCAGAGAGTGCAGCGTTGTGCCTTCTTTTAAGTGGGAGGTGTGCTCTGTCTCTGGTAAGGCCTGACCCTCTGCACCTTCTGAAGCAGGGGGGCTCCTGCCTTCACAGTGTGGTCATGCTGCCTCCATCCCCCTCTGTGCAGGGGTGATGAGGGGCTGGAGCACGCTGTGGATCCTGCAGGCAGTTCCTCTGCAGCGCTTCTCCCACCACCAGCCCCAGCGGCACCTTCGCACCAGTGACCATGGTGGTCAGCAGAGGTTTCCTACCGGTTTGTAGCCGGTCAAGGGAGGCAGTGACAGCCCTCTTGAGTGCTCCGGGGTGGGGAATACAGCCCCCGTTGCCACTGTTTGGTTGCTCCAAGACATGGTGCTGTTGCTTTGAGCCCCTTGTCTGGTAGAGCTCACCGCCCTGTGGGGGTGGTGCAGGCCCTGAGATGCCTCTGGCTGTCGGAGGTAATCCTGCAGGGAGCGGGGATTAGGTGTCAGGTCAGTTTGGTCCCAGCCTTATCTAGTAGGAAGTTTTGGCCGTGGACATCGGCAGCATTTGCAGGAACAGGAATGGTAAAGTGCAGCTGGGCCGTGCGGCACTGTTGTTAACAGCAGAATTGGTTTGAGCACAACCACACATCAGGCTCTCCCCGTCGGATCAAGGCAGGGCTCCTCTGAACAGCCCGGTGTGCTGAGCAGGGGCACACAGCCTGGTTACCGCAAGCTCCATACTGAGACATGCCTCAGAGCAGTGTGGTAACGTGTTGCTCCCACTGCTGGGTAGACTGGGATATGGTAACGTGGCCCAGAGCAGCTGTCCTGGGGTCTGGCTTGCTGTGATGCTGTAGGCAGGGCTCCAGGGAAGGGAGAGGTGTGAGAAAACAGAAAATGGGGTAAATGAGCAGCATGTGGAGGATGAAAGGCCTGGGCAGAGGTTGAGGGGAGAAGGAAGTGATGTGTGAGATGCTGGGTGTCAGCGTGTGCTGGCCCATGCTCTTGAGGTGACAGTGACAGACCTGCCTGCGCTCTGCTTCTCTGCCCGCCAGTGTCTTGCCCCGAGCTGGAGCAGGCTGAGGCTGCCCCGGAGAAGGACTCGGAGGAGGGTGAGTCGAGGTGTGCGCTGGCTGTCAGCGCATGGCTGTGGCGTGCCCTTGCCAAGGGAGCCGAAGCTCTCGCCTCGGCTTCTCCTTGTCACTGAGCAGAACTAACCCCTCGCTCCCTCGCCTCAGCGTTGATCTTAACGGGCTGCGGCCTTCCCGGGGCGGAGAGGGGCGCACGTGGTCTGCGAGGAAGAGGCCCTGGGCACGGGGCAGGCTGCTTCCCGCTCGAGTGTGACAGTGTCACCGAGCCCAGCCCTGGGACACCGGGACGCCAGCCTCTGTCCTGCTGGTTTCTGAGCAGGAGCCACGCTGGGCTGGGAAGATCCCAAGTTGTGTCACCCAGCAGGTGACAGCTCTGGGGGCTGGTTTCTGCCCTGGTCTGGCTGGGCCTGCTTTGAGGACAGAGTAGGACATCCTTGTGCCACAGAGGGTAGAACAGACCTGATGGAAATGAAGGTGATGGAAATCACCTTTTTGCCTTGAAGGCTTCAGGACACCACAGGGCCAGACCTGGAACCTGGCTGGCACCTGGGGGAAGGTCTGCCTGTGAAGGAGTGACACTGCTGTGCCATTTTCTGCCTGGGTGCAAAGTTCTTGCCTGGCTGGTGAGCCTGCCCGTGTTTCAGCTGTGTTAACAAGTGCTCACCTGGCAGGAATACAGTGTGTGCTGCTTGATTTGCATCTACAAAGGGGAAGTGGCAATTTCTGATTGTGGTCAGAGTCCTCTTGAATCCCCAAGAGTAATTCTGTGGCTTCCTCATTCCCTGGGAAAGCAGCTATTGCTTTGTAGTTGGCAGGAGCCACCCCTTCTTCCCAGCCACCGCTGCTGCACGTGACAGGGCTGGGAGCAGCGCTGCCTTTCTGATCTCTCCAGTTCCCACCAGGATTTCACCTGCCCTGCTGCAATATGTGCTCTTGTTTGTGGCCTGTCTGATGAGAGCAGGTTGCGAGTGTCCTGTTTAATTGGCATGATCTGTGTCCCCTGTGTTGACCTCCATGAACTGAGCGTGTGTTCAGGCTCCCAAGCCAAGTGGCACCGCAGGCTCATGCCCCAGTGAGTGGGTGACACTTCCCTCCCTCTTCCTAGAGTTGCTGCTGGATTGGAAGCAGAACGCTGATGAGATCATCGTCAAGCTGAACTTGGGCAGTGGAGCTCTGAAGGTGGAGGATGTGGATGCTGCTTTCACTGACACAGACTGTGTGGTCAAACTACCAGGTATGGAGAACAGAGCTACTGCTGCAGGCGTTTCTCCAGCGGGACTTGGCACAGCTCTGGGCTAGACGTGGGGCTGATCCAGGCAGGCTTAAAACCTTTCCTTCAGAGGCAATGCCCTGCTGTCAGCTGGCACAGGTTCAGCAGGGCCGAAACGAGAGCAGTGTAAAAGAAGAAGGGTATGGAGCTGGGGAGGACAGGAGCTGGCCTCTGCGCCAAGTGAACAAGTGCCCGCTGGTGCTTCTCTGTCCCCTCCTCACCGGGATGACTGACTCGGCCCTGGGTATCCCTTGGAAAGTGACTGTGCCCCTGAGGGCAGGGAGGCCCAGGGCCTTCCCTTTGGGAAGGGGGCCAGCCAGATGTACAAAGCAAATCCAAGGAAGCTGGCTGAAGACTCCTGGGGTATGGTGGCAGCCTGCCTGCAGCCTCCTTGGCTCTGGATGAGTGCTCCCTTGATCCTCGGGGCAGGTGAAAGGGGGCTGTGAGTTAGGTGACAGCTGCCTGGAGCACTGCCTGAGGTGCGGTCCCCCTCCGCTTGCAGACGGGCGCCAATGGAGTTGCCAGTTCTTTGAGGAGATTGAGAGCTCCTGCAGCAAGGTCCAGTGCAAGAAGGGCAACTTTCTACAGCTGGTGCTTCAAAAGAAGATCCCCCTCCATAACTGGTCTTCGCTTCTGGTGAGGAGGGGAGAATCTGCTTTTTGAGGGAGCTTATGGAGCCCGGGGGAGCTGGGGTGGGGGATTTTTCTCCCTGCTCTTCAGCTGCCCGGGGACCAATGTGGAGGCACATCCTGCATCCATGTGCTCTATGAGGGGAGTGAGACAGGTTCCTCTGTCCTAGGGAAGGGGGTGTCATCATACCCCTGTTCCTACCTGCCACACACCCTCTGGGTTCTGGAGCAGAGCCCCAGCATGCTCTGGGAAGGGGGAGTGAGGGTGAGAGGCTGGCAGAGTATGAACAGTGTTTTTACCTGGATACATTCCCACTGTGCTGCATTGCTTTTCACAGAAAAGAAGGAAAGACGGATCCAAGGAACTGGCCAAAGGGGCCACGTGCTGGGAGAACGGGAAGGAGAAGGCTGCTTCTGCAGAGGTGGTCCCTGAAGAGCCGAGGGCTGAAGGTGCAGAGCTGCCGAGGTCGCGGCGAGAACCCTCCAACCCCAAACGTGCTCCGGGAAGAAGCGAGGCCCTGGGAGGGAAAAGCCCAGCCAGCCCAGGGACGCAGAGCGGCCCCAGCGCCAAGAGGGCAGTATACCTCAAAGTGGCTCCCACCGAAGAGGAGCCAAACGCCAGAGTCACTGGGAGCGTGGAGCCCAGCAAAGGGCACAGCGGGAGGGCAGGTGGCCGCCGCAATGGCAGAGCCAGCCAGGTCGATGCGCCCACAGCCCTCGCAGACCTCACACCACCACTGGAGAAGGTACGTGAGGACTGAGGCGAATGGAGGAGGGGGGCACCCCTGCTCCCTCAGCCCCCATGTGGGGATGCTGCTGACACAGGGACCCATTCCTGCTGATGAGATGAGCTCTGGGGTTCCGCGGGTGTTGCTGAGGGGCTGGTGTGGGCCTGGCTGTGGTGGAGGAGAGGGTGATGTGAGGACTGCACCTCGATGAGTGGATTGTTTTGGGCCTCTTACCCCAAAAAGGCCATTGAATGACTCGAGTGTAGCCAGAGAAGGGCAACGGAGCTGGGGCAGGGTCTGGAGCACAGGTCTGCTGGGGAGCGGCTGGGGGAACTGGGGGGGTTCAGTCTGGAGAAGAGGAGGCTGAGGGGAGACCTCCTGGCCCTCTGCAACTCCCTGCCAGGAGGGGGCAGAGAGGGGGGATGAGTCTCTGGAGCCAAGGAGCCAGCGCCAGGCCCCGAGGGAATGGCCTCAAGCTGCCCAGGGCAGGATCAGGCTGGCTCTGAGGAAGGATTTCTGTGCAGAAGGGGCTGTTGGGCGTTGGAATGGGCTGCCCAGGGCAGGGGGGGAGTCCCCGGGATCCCTGGAGGGGTTGAAGAGTTGGGCTGAGCCAGCGCTGAGGGATCTGGGGGAGTTGGGAATGGTCAGGGTGAGGTTCATGGTTGGGCTGGAGGAGCTGCAAGGGCTTTTCCAACCCAGATGATTCTTTGACCCCACGGTTGCTGGACTGTGGTACTAATGGGGCTGAGCCAAGCGTGGGATGTGTGGGGGAAGTGGGCTGTGTGGAGCTGTGCCTGCCTGGCTGGCAGGAGTCACAACAGGTGGGCCGGGGCAGCTTGGGAGCAGCAGTGCCTGTTTTTCACTATCTCTCTCTCCCTTGAAAGGCTGTGGTTTTGGCCAAGGAGGCTGTTCCCGTGGAGATGCCGCCTCTTGCAGCTACCACAGAGGTGTTCCCGCACCGTGTTGCCACTTGTGTGGAGAAGAGAGTCCTGCAGCCAGGCAGCCCTGTGGAGGCCTTGCGGAGCCGGGACTGCACGCCTGTCCTGGGAGAGAGCTCTAAGACTGTCCCAGCAGCCACTCCTCCCCCGGGCAGAGACAGTGAGAAGAGGGACTGGTCCAAGGATGATGTGGCTCTGGAAGCAGCGGCTGATGGTGGGTAACTGGAGCCTGGGGATCAGCCTGTTTGGGAAGGTCCATCTGCTCAGGACCACTCCTGGGTCAACCTGCAGCGTTGCCTCAGCATGCAAAGTAGGTAAATGTCTCTCTCCATGGCTTTTCTCACTCAGAGCCAGAGCCTTTTGTGAGCCTGACCTTTGTCAAGAATGACTCGTACGAGAAAGGCAATGACCTGGTGGTAGTGCATGTCTACGTGAAGGAGATCCACAAGGAGACATCCAAGGTGTTGTTCCGGGAGCAAGACTTCACGCTGGTGTTCCAGACGAGGTATGGGCATGCCTCGGGGTGGTGCCGGCTGCTGTGGAGCTCCTGGTTGTGGCTGGGCTGCATGTTTATTCGCTGCTTCTCACTCACTGCCAATTTCTTTGCAGTGACACAAACTTCCTTCGCCTCCATCCTGGCTGTGGCCCCCACACAGTGTTCCGGTGGCAGGTGAAGCTCAGGTATGGCTCCTGTTCTTCTAGTCTGCACCAGGGTGAGGGAGCTGAGAGTGCAGAGCTGGAGCAGGAGACGGTCCCTGCTGGTGGGTCTGTGCAGGGAATGCTCATTTCTGCACCTGGGCATCTCCCTTACACTGTGCTGGACTAATGCCCCAAGCCTGGACTGCTGCAGCTCTGGGTGGTGGCTTGCAGGGGAGAAAATCCCAGTGCCTCCTTGCCCGCAGTTGCCCTCAGGCTGTTCTAGAGCTCTTGGGGACAGGCAGAGCAGCCTGTGTGTGCTTTGGGCGGGATATCCAGCAGGAAGGGGCATGTGGAGCCAAGCAGAATGGATCTGCCAGGAAAGGGGCCTTCTCTGTGCTCAGTGTGGCCAGGCTCGAGGGTTTCCACCCTCGCAGTGTCTGCCCAGAGGCCATGGCCCTGCCTCTACAAGAGGCTTCAGCATCTCTGAGGCTGCTGGGGGTGGATCTGAGGCACCCCTGACTTGCCACATGTCTTGCAGGAACCTTATTGAGCCGGACCAGTGCACATACAACTTCACAGTGTCTCGCATCAACGTCTGCCTGAAAAAACGCCAGAGCCAGCGTTGGGGGGGGCTGGAGGCTCCAGCCACACGAGGTCTGCACCCTGCCTTCTTGTCTTGCCTGCCTGCCGCCCCCCAGCAGGGCAGGGGCCCCCCTCACCGCCGGCAGCTGCCGGTTGGTGCCAGATCCTCTGGTGTGGGGTTGTGGGGAAGGAGAGAGACTGAGCGGGTACAGGTAGGAGAGGTGTGGGACAGGACAAGCCAAGTGCTGAGGGAAGGGCACTGCTGCTCCCCTTGCTCATGGGGAAGAGGGGTAGGAGAGAGCCTGTGTGTGAGCATGGACCGAGCGGCTCAGCCCCACCGTGGGCAGCGCACGGTGCTGCTAACCACAGGCCCACCCTTCCCCCTTTTTAAGGTGCAGTGGGTGGTGCAAAGGTTGCCATGCCTACAGGCCCTACCCCTCTGGACAAGAACCCCCCTGGCAGTAACCAGCACCCCCTGTCCAGCAAGGAAGAGGCCCGAGCCAGCGACAAAGAGAAGCCACGAGTAGAAGATGGGGGTCTGGATGGTGTGGCAGCCCGTACAGCCCCGGAGCATGTGGCAGTGAAACAAGAGCCACACATCCCATCGGTGAGTGGGGCCCCACGCTGGATTTGACCTGGGTGGGAGGAAAGGTCCTACTTGTGGGACCCCACCCCCTCAGTGTCACTCTGGGGATGGCAAACTGCTGTTGAGGAGGTGGTGGTGCTCCTCAGTCCTAGCTGGCAGGATCAGGGGCTTGTGGGAGATGGTGTGATGGCTCCAGCTCTGTCTGAGGGGTGCCTTGGGCTTTTTGGGTTCCTCTGGTGTTCCCAGAGAGACCCCCCTGAGTGCAACACCCTCACACCCACCTCTGCTTTGGCAGCCCAAACCGACGTGCATGGTGCCACCGATGACGCACAGCCCAGTGAGCACTGAGAGCGTGGAGGACGACGAGGATGAGGATGAGAAGAAGAAGGTCTGCCTGCCTGGTTTCACGGGGCTGGTAAACCTGGGCAACACCTGCTTCATGAACAGCGTCATCCAGTCCCTGTCCAACACCCGGGAGCTGCGGGATTACTTCCATGGTGAGCCCACGCCGGGAGCCCAGCAGAGCCCTGCCACTCAGACAGTGTAGCCAGCAGCCACCCTCGCTCTCCTGTGTCTCTTACAGATCGGTCCTTTGAGTCAGAAATCAACTACAACAACCCGCTGGGGACGGGGGGACGCCTGGCCATCGGCTTTGCCATGCTGCTTCGAGCGCTGTGGAAGGGCACACACCATGCCTTCCAGCCCTCTAAACTGAAGGTAGGGCCACAGGTGCTATGCAGGAGGTAGTTGTGGGTCCCCAGCCCTCTGTGGGCACTTGGCTGCCCTGTTAGTGCCACGGAGAGCTGTGTGGGTGGGTGTAGACAGACTGTGTGGGGTGTAGGCAGTGCTGCCGGGGGGGCTGCTGGCCAGCTGTGACCACTGTGCCTCCTCCCAGGCAATCGTGGCCAGCAAGGCCAGCCAGTTCACTGGCTACGCCCAGCATGATGCTCAGGAGTTCATGGCCTTCCTGCTCGATGGCCTGCACGAGGACCTCAACCGCATCCATAACAAGCCCTACACAGAGACCGTTGACTCAGATGGGAGGCCGGACGAGGTGAGGACGTCCCTCTGCAAATCTACTGTGAGAGCAGCTCTAGCCTGGGTGGTTTAGTGTAGTTCTGAGCCCTTTCTCCCCACAGGTGGTAGCTGAGGAGGCCTGGCAGCGACATAAGATGAGAAACGATTCTTTCATTGTGGACCTCTTCCAGGGCCAGTACAAATCCAAACTGGTGTGCCCAGTGTGTTCCAAGGTAGGGCAGCCCTGGAGGCTCTGTCCTGGTCCTGGCTGCGCAGCAGCAGGCTCCTGACCCTCAGAGAGCACAGGACAGGGCTGACTCTCAGGTCTGAGGGGCTGCCTCCCTGCTGATCTCAGCCACAACCGCTTCCCACAACTGAGTGTGCTCTTGCTTCTGCAGGTGTCCATCACCTTTGACCCCTTCCTGTACCTCCCTGTGCCCCTCCCGCAAAAGCAGAAGGTGCTGACAGTCTACTACTTTGCAAAGGAACCTCACAAGAAACCCATCAAGGTAAAGAACACCATCTACTCTGGGGAGGGAGCCCAGGAGGGCTCCTGGAGGTGTCTCAGGTTGTGTACAGCAGGCTGAGCCTCGTGTTAAGTAACCAACATGCCTTGGTGTGGTGTGACTATTGTGGTGCTTTCTTGATGGCAGTTTCTCGTGAGTATCAGCAAGGAGAACTCCAGTGCCATGGAGGTACTTGACTCGGTGGCCCACAGCGTGCGTGTGAAACCAGAAAACCTGCGCCTGGCAGAGGTGAGAGTGTTCAAGCTAGGGAGCAACCTGTGGGCTGCTCTTGTGGGTGTCCTGGCTCCCAGAGCTCTGCAGGGAATATGGGCATTGACAGTTGCTTGCCCATGTCCAACACATCCATGGGATGGGTCATTCCCTCGGGGCCTGGCGCTGGCTCCTTGGCTCAAGAGACTCATCCCCCCTCTCTGCCCCCTCCTGGCAGGGAGTTGCAGAGGGCCAGGAGGTCTCCCTCAGCCTCTTCTCCAGACTAAACCCCCCAGTTCCCTCAGCTGCTCCTCATAAGACATTCTCAGGAGAGGAAACGTGGGTCAGCCCTCACACGGTGCCACTCCACTGCTTTTCTGGCAGGTGATCAAGAATCGCTTCCACCGCATGTTCCTGCCATCCAACTCATTGGACACTGTCTCCCCCACGGACCTGCTGCTCTGCTTTGAGGTGCTGTCTCCAGAGCTGGCTAAGGAGCGGGTGGTGGAGCTGCAGGTCCAGCAGGTAAGAGGGGATTTTGAGATACACAGAGAGGCTGAGCAGGAGAGGGGGAGCTGCACGCAAGGGTGACGAGCTGCAGCGAGCACGGATACCCACTGAAGCTGCCCAGGTGCCTTTCCCTGCCCAATGGGTCCTTTCTCCTGCAGCGTCCGCAGGTGCCCAGTGGCCCCGTCGCCAAGTGTGCAGCCTGCCAGAAGAAGCAGCTGCCCGAGGATGAGAAGCTCAGGCGCTGCACGAGGTGCTATCGAGTCGGTTACTGCAACGTGTGAGTTGGCTTGGTGCCTAGCAGGGAGGGATGATCTCCTGCCTTGAAAGGCTGGGTGGGAGAGCTCAGCTCACTGGGAGGAGGTGGGATAGGCCTGGCCTTTGGGAGGAAGCCAGTCTGGCTCACAGCGCTCCCCTCACCCCCAGCACACCCCTCTGGCCCTGCCGTGCTCCTGCCTGGGGCAGTCGCGGATGCTGGGTTCAGCAGGGGCTGTATGTGTTACAGGGCATGTCAGAAAACACACTGGCCAGACCACAAGGCTTTGTGCCGCCCCGAGAACATCGGTTTCCCCTTCCTCATCAGCGTGCCGGAGTCCCGCCTCACCTACGCCCGCCTGGCCCAGCTGCTGGAGGGCTATGCAAGGTGAGCGTCCGGGGAAGGAAGGTGCTTCTGCCCCACAGCTGAGCTGAGCCCTCTGCTTGGCCAGCTCTGACTGCCACCTCCTTGCCCAGGTACTCAGTCAGCGTGTTCCAGCCTCCGTTCCAGCTGGGCCGTATGTCACCAGAGCAGGGGCTGCAGCCTCTGCTCCCAGACAAGCTGGAACCCCCGGCCAAGAGCACCTGTGCAGCAGCCACGTCTGCCTCCGAGCTGGGGGACGGGGACAGAGCTTCCAGCCTCCTGCAGGAGCCCCCGCTCTCGTCAGCTGTGCCCGAGCTGCACCCGGAGCTGGCGGACACCGGCACTGTCCGGAGTAAGGTCTTGGCAGCCAGGAGTTCCCTGCTGAGCTTGGATTCGGGCTTTTCTGAGCACATGGAGTCGCAGGGCGACAGCTGTTGTGAGAAGGAGCCGTCCTACGAGAGAGCCCTCAAGCCAGAAGGTAAGAGGTGCTGCGGGGTAACTGCGTGTGTACCATGAGCTCAGGCACTCCCGAGACAAAACAGGAGCAACTCCTCCTCCTTGGGGTGTCCTCCCACCACAACATCTGTTCTCCCCTTGTGAACTTGGCCTGGAGACCCTTGGGGAACACAAGGCCCTGGGAGCTGTGTTTTGGCAGTGCTGCCCCACCTGAAATGCCTGCCTGCCCACGCTCTGCCTTGCCCTGGCAGGGCCCACGGGGCAGAGCGGAGACCTGATGAAGAAAGAAGCTGGAGTGTTTTTTGCTGTTGTGGGAAGGCAAGGGGCTGGCAGAAACCTCCCGAGTCCTGTGGGAGGGCAGAACCCGGTGCGGGCTGAACCCCTCAGGGCTGTGAGCCGCAGCGTTTCCCTCGCTCTGACTCAGCTGCACAGGAGCAGCCTCTCGCGCTCGGCTGCCTGCCTGTCACGTTTCCAGACACTCGTCTCAGGATGGCAGCAATGTGCAGCGAAGGGGCAAGGCAGGCAGAGGAGCGCAGTTTGCCAGGGGCAGGCGCCTGCTAAAAATAGCCAAGGACACGGGGCACGTGGTTGTGTCCCTGCAAGGCCGTAGCATGTGAGGTGGGGGTGGGGGCACTGCAAATTCTTGGCCCCTACGCAGGGCAGACAGGCAGTGCCACCACAGATCTGTCCCCGCCTGTCCACAGCTGCCATCCCTGGGTACCAACACACTCCAGACTCGCTGAGCGCCCGCACCACACAGTTCTACATCAACAAGATCGACGCTGCCAACCGAGAGCACAAGCTGGAAGATAAAGGTGAGCCCAAAGCCCCAGAAAGCGCCACCTTCATCCCTTGTGGCTTCTGGCAGGGTCGTGGATCTGCCTGGCTGAGGAGCCAGAGGCTGCCTGGCACAAGGTGAACCCCAGATGTGACAGCGGCCTGAGGCTGGGCAGTGAAAGCTGCATCTGGCTCAGGGGAGGGCAGGGCTCTGCTGCACAGAGCTGCTGCCTGGAAGTTCTTAGGCACGACACTCCTGCTCTCCTCAGCAAATAGACCCAATTCCCTTCAACCTCCTATATCCGCGGAGGGTCTGTGATCCCTTGTTGGGGTGGGATGCCCCCATCCAGCGGTGGCTACGTAGGCGCTGTCGAGAGGAACTGTCAGCCTTGTGTCCCACTGCTGTGGGGTGGTGAATGTGACCATGGGGCATTTCTCCTTTCCTGGTAGCACTGTGCGATCGCTGTATTGAGCCAGGATGGGCAAGACTGCTCCTAGCCCTGGCGAGGTGGCCTGGCCTGGTGTGGGGCAGGTATGTGAAGTGTGTGCCCCTTTGCAGGTGACACTCCCCTGGAGCTGACAGACGACTGCTCCCTCGCCCTGGTATGGAAGAACAATGAGCGCCTCAAGGAATTTGTGTTGGTGGAGTCCAAGGAGCTGGAGTGCGTGGAGGACCCAGGCTCGGCCAGCGAAGCAGCCCAGGCTGGCCACTTCACCCTGGAGCAGTGCCTCAATCTCTTCACCAAGCCCGAAGTCCTGGCTCCGGAGGAAGCGTGGTGAGAAAGGCAGCAGGGTGGGTTCCAGCCCGTGGGCCCAGGCAGCAGCGGGGGGTTTCCCAGGAGCTGCCCAGGCCTGCACCCTGTTTCTTCTGGCAGCCAGGAGTGTTGGCCTTCCCTGTGCTCTGGGGAGGGAGGCCATAAACCAGCAGGGAGCGATGCCAGTGCTCCACAGCACTGTGCTGGCTTGTCCCTGGCACGGGAGGCTGAGACCTCCCGCGTCTCCTCTGCCAGCCCCACATGTCGGGGGGACCTCGGGGCTGGGCTGGGCCGGGCCGCGAGGCCTGAGGGTCTCCCCACGCCGGTAATGACCCTGCTCCTCCCCCAGGTACTGCCCCAAGTGCAAGCAGCACCGCGAGGCCTCCAAGCAGCTGATGCTGTGGCGGCTGCCCAACGTCCTCATCATCCAGCTCAAGCGCTTCTCCTTCCGTAGCTTTATTTGGAGGGACAAGATCAACGACATGGTGGACTTTCCCGTCCGGTGAGAGTCTGGGAGGGGTGAACTGGCTGAGTTGGCGCTGCCTTACAGCCCAACCTGTCCCTGCCTAACGCTGACCAGCCCCGATTTGTCCCCGTGTCTCTCCGCAGAAGCTTGGACCTGAGCAAGTTCTGCATTGGCCGGAAGGGCGAGCAGCAGCTGCCCATGTACGACCTGTACGCTGTGATCAACCACTACGGAGGCATGATTGGGGGGCACTACACAGCGTACGCCCGCCTGCCCAATGACAAGAACAGCCAGCGCAGCGACGTGGGTGAGGACCTGCCCTCCCTCTTTGCCCTCCCCGCTCCTGCAGCCGTGGCCTGTCAGCTTGCTGTAACCCTTCTCTCCTCTCAGGCTGGCGGCTCTTCGATGACAGCACAGTCACCACCGTGGACGAGAGCCAGGTGGTAACCAGATACGCTTACGTCCTCTTCTATCGCCGGAGGAACTCTCCTGTGGAGAGACCCCTGCCAGGGCACCCCCCAGACCACCGAGCCGAGCGCACACCCTCTGCCGAAGCTGCTGCCAGCCAGGTGAGAGCTTGCGTCCCTTTCGGCGCTGTTGGAGCCACGTGGAGCCTTGAAAACATTCCCAAGTGCCCACGCACAGGGCCCGGCCCGGTATCTGCCAGCACCCACGGAGCCTGGCGCAGCTGTGGTGTGGTTTCTGCCCCTCTTCGACACCAACCACGTGTTGGGTCCTGTCTTGCCCTGTTCTCTCTGTGAGCTTGAGACAGTCCCTGCCCTGAGGGACGACAGGAGAGCTGTTTCCTGTCATCAGGAGTGGGAGTGCTGGTGGGAGGGCCCTGGAGGAGGCAGGAGAGGGCCCAGCCTCGCTGGGGTCTGTGCCGGAGGAAGGCTGCGAGCGGTGCAGCAGGAGCTGGCCGTGCCAGGGAGCAGTGAGAACCTGCCCTCCACAGCCGCTCTTGAGGCAGGGTGTGGGGACGCTTTCTGCTGGGGCCCAGCTCGGGGCCAAGCTAGGTGCAAAAAAGGCAAATGCCAGCGCTGAGCCAGAGGCCTGGCAGCCTCTGCAGGGTGCTGAAGAGAAACCTGCCAGAGCGAGCTCTACTGCTGGGCTGCCCAGGAGGGGAGGGGAGGGGTGGGCTGGCCCGCAGGCTGCTTTTGGCATGTGCTGGCGGGCAGCGATCAGGCTGATTTTTGCGTGAACATCGGACACGATGGCCCAGGCTGGGGCGTGACGCAGCGCCCACCTGGGCAGCCCCCACCCTGCATTGCTGTGCTGCAGCCCTTCCCTCTGCGCTCAGCTCCCCCGTGGCCCCACGGGCTCTGAGGACAATGCTCAGCTCATCTCAAGGCACGGTTGCACACGTGTGTGCCCTGTGGGGCTTCCTGACCCGTCTGGCTCCCGCAGCCCTCGGCCTGGCACCCTGATTCTGTCCTCTCAGCTGGGGACAGGAGCTGCCTGTCCCTGCAGCCAGGGAGTGTCCGGCACGTTGGTGTCCTCCTGCCTGGGCTGTTCCTGCCCTTGTGGGGGTGTGCTCTGTGCGTGTCCTCGAGCAGCTCCCCTCGCTGAAGGGGGGGTCCTGGCAACAGGAAGGCTGTGCTGCTTCTCCCACGCTGGCAGTGGGAGCCCTGGGGGTCCCGAGGTGGCACCGAGGCTCACTGTCTGCCCCGCGGCGCTGGGGTTCGGTGGGTCCCCTCGTGGTGCCGGATCCCCCGCAGCGATGGGGCACGTTGGATCCCGCCAGGGCTCAGCGGGTCCCTCGGCGCTTCGGACCCCCCCCTGCACCCTCCCAGGCACTGGGTGCCCTCCAGAGACCTGCACCCTGATCTGCTGCTCAGCGAGATCCCCCCCGCCCCGCTCCCTGCACAGTGAAGGGCCAGGCTGTGATTGACTGCCTGTGGATAATCCTCCTGGAACCTGGGCTACGATTGGCTGTCGAAGCATCCCCACCCACCGAAGCAGAGCTGTGACTGGCTGTGCTGTGACCGCGCCTCCCACTCCTGCTGCCCCAGCTGGCTCTGGATTGGCTGCCGTCTGAAAGATCCTGTTTAGAGATCCTAAAAAGCTGGTTTGTGATTGGCTGTTCCCTGCCTCCTCGCCGCCCGGAACCCACCAATGCCAGCGCATCGTCTCCACCGGGATCCGGCTGCCCGTTCCGCTCCCCACGAAGACCTGGCCTGGCAGCTGCCCACGCTCCCTCCCGCAGAGCTGCCCGGCTGCGCCCCACGCTCCGGAGACCCCGAAGACCCCCGAAGAGCCGCGGGGGCGGGCGCGACCGCGATGGTGCTGCATGGGGAGGAGGGCTGGCTGGGCACAGGGCTGGGCTTGCAGGTAGCCGCTTGCCCTGGGGGATGGCGAGGGGTGTTGCCCGTTGTGTTCTCCAAGTGCTGACGCAGGTTTCCACATCGCAGGCTTCTCTGATCTGGCAGGAACTGGAGGCTGAAGAACAAGAGCTGCAGCTCGAGGCGCCCCAAAGGCCTGCAAGAAACTGCTGGAGGCCCCGTGGCCAGAAGCGGAATCCGGGCATCTCCCAGCACCCAGATGAAGGCTGCGTCAGATACTTTGTCCTGGCCACCACGGCCGCAATTGTGGCTCTCTTCCTGAACGTCTTCTACCCGCTCATTTATCAGACCCGCTGGAGATAGGCACGGGGACATGGCCAGCTGCGGGAGCAGGGCTGCCGGGGCACACGCTGTCCTAGAACACTTGCACGACGAAGACATCGGGCAGCAGGACAGAAACTGCCGGGAAGGACTCACCAACGGAAGTGTGGGGCTGTCGGCTCCTGCCTGTCTGCTCTGGCATCTCCCGTGCCAGCTGGCAGGGCTGTGTGGCCAGCCCGCTGCCTTGCCAAGGCCCAGAACCAGCAGCCCATCTGCCCTCCCTCACCCTTGCTGCCTGCTGGGAGCCGGACAGACCTCATGGCTACCTGCTGCTCAGGAAGGGACGTTGCCACTGCAGCACGGCTGGGGCCTGGGAGCCCCCACAAAGGAGCATCACCCTCCTCTGGCTCCCACAAAAGAAGCAGAGACCTGTGGGAGGCTACAGCGAGGGCAGGATGCCCTGACACGGGTCCTGGCTCCCAGCTGTGCTGCTGCAGGAGCCTTGCACTCCCTGGGGCTGGCACAACCAGGCTCCTGGGCCAGCCCGCTCCCTCCTGCCAGCGCCCCACTGAGCCTCCCCGTGCCAGCTGCCCCTGCACCAGTTGTGCTGGGGCCAAATGGGCTTGTTGCCGCGGGCTTGTGTGCTTCCCTGGAGACTCAGCCCCCACCGCACCTCCTCTCCCCTCAAGCAGCTGCTGGGGTGCCCAGGGGGAGCACCTGCCTCCGGGGGCTCCTGGCTCCCCCCAGCCCCTAGCCGCGTGGGACATGTGGGCTGTCCCTGGCTGTCTGGGGGTGGGATGGGGGGGCCAGGTCTGCCGGGGGCACCTCGTTTGCGAGGGGATTTGCTGCCCTGTGCTGCGGGAGAGGTGTGGGGTTGGGGAGTGCAGGTAGGACCTCAGTGTGTTAATAAAGCCAGGTTTTTCCAAAGAGATGCAGCGTCCCTGTCCTGTGTGATGGGACCCTGCGCTGTAGCTGCTGCTGTTAGTGTGCCTGAGGAGACTCTCTTCAACCTAGTCCCTGTGCCCTGGGCTCTGCTGGGTGCCTGGTGCACCCTGTGTGGCAGCAGGCTCGGGGCAGAGCTCTGCCTGCCGATGCCAGAGGGCATAAGCTGGGCTCCCCCTCCCCAGCCCTGGAACGGCAGCCCCGGCGGGGCGCATGCAGGAGCTGGGGAGCCCGGTGGGGCCGGGGTACGGGCTGGAGCTCCAGAGGTGTCTGACATTGAGACGTGTTGCCCTTGACTGAGCGTGGCTCAGACTGCTCTGGCGTGTTTGGGTGGGAGAGGTGACTTCAGAGCCGTGTGACTTCCTTTTCCGTCTCCGCTGCCGTCCCGCCGGCGGTGCCCTTGGCTGGCTCGGGGAAGGATGCTTGGCAGGGAAGGGGCTTGCCTGTGTTTCTGGCTGGGGCTTGAGCCAGACACGGGGGAGCCCAGGGCTCCATCCTCCCACTCGCTTCGATCCTGCACCCCTCTCACACGTGTGCAGCAGTGCCCTCCCTGCCAAGAGCCGGGGAGCCCGGCGGGGCTGTGCCGTGGTCATAAGGTGGCTGTGCTGGAACAGTCGCCTCATTGTCTGCAGCCCTGGGCCTCGGCGACTTCCCCCGCTCGCCCGTGGCGCTGGCCTCGTGGGGCTGAGTCAGTGCCCGGCGCCGGTGGGGTGACCTCTGCTCCGCCTGGCACCGGCACCCCGGGGTTGGGGCGCACAAGCCGCTGCCTGCACCTGCCTGCCCAGCCTCCCCGCAGGTGGGTGGCCGGCAGCGAGGCCCGGGCTAGGC